AAGACCATTTTCTACAGCTGAACTATTTTGTTGTCCCTCTCTTCCTTTCCCCCCCCCCTCCCATACCTGTTGTAGTAGTTACAAGGTTTATCTTTATTAATTAAGGTCAGGCTTTATTATTATTTTTGTTATTCTTATTTCTAAGTACTATTGTCACAAGGCCACTTATTCAAGAAGTATGTAGTGAAAGCTGCCTTCTCATGCATACTAAATCACAGCTTTTTGGATAAAGTGGAAAACTTCTTTCCAAAGATCTCCCACTTAATCATACTTTTTAAATACTTCTAAAAGATTTCACTGTAAGAAAAGGCTATGTGAAAGAAGTTCTCTCTTATGGCATTTTTGTCCTGGCTGATATCTTGATTTGTTTCTCAGCTGATCCCTTGCTTTCAGGCAACCATCAGTCTTAATCCAGTCTGTCACTGAAGGCATCTAAAATCGTTGCCTTACTTGGGCATGCCATCATTCGTAAATTGATGAGGAATTCCCCATGGGACAGCATATTCTTTAGTATCCCCTGCCAAAGTCTCCCATGATGTTTCACACAAAGCAGAGAGGTACTTACAAAACAAATTACCATGTTTTGTTTGGGGATTCAGGAGTATATAAAAGACCCTCCAACACCTTGACCAAACTGTGTGTCAGAGCATGTTATCTGGCTGTTAGCACTACAGAGAACGTGATTTTTATCCTTATTTTACCCTAGCACCTTTCCAGCTTTCACAGCTGCTCTCCAAGCTACGAAATCTATCTGCCCCTCTGCCAGAGGACCTCCAGCATCCTCTCCTTGTTCCCATCAAGACAAAGTGGCTCAAGCATTCAAAAAATTCACAACTAAAATGCCTCTCTCAGTCTCCTACACCCACTGGAAGATTTCCCGTGGTGAACAGACTTCCCTAAAGCTGTCTGCAGCACATCCAGTTCTCCATGCAACCTCACTATTGCTCCCAGGATTAATCACCATGCGTGATTAATCTTGGCAGATGCTTTCAAGAGCCTGCCCATGCATCATCCAGGTGCATCTCACAGGAGGCAGCATGCAACCTCACTGTTGCTCCCAGGATTAATCACCATGCGTAGGGGCTTGGCAGATGCTTTCAAGAGCCTGCCCATGCATCATCCAGGTGCATCTCACAGGAGGCAGCACTTCACCCTGTGTTCAGCATTACCTGAGACAGCAACAACCATAAACCTATGAAGAATGTGGCCTCCTCCAGAACAAACAAAGCTTTTGCAGAAGAGGTACACAGCTTAGGAAAGCCAGCCTCCAAGGTCAAATCCAGAAACAAGGACAACTTCCTGTGTAGCTTTCTTTGATCTCTCCTACGTCTCTTTTGCTGACCACATGGCCCAGTATGAAAGATAAGGCCACTAGTAGGAAACACACAGGCCAGACTTTACCATTCCACTCCAATGAACACAGGAAAGCTATTACATGGATTAACAGCCAAAGGAATAAACAGATCAATGTATTCACTCACTGTACATGATCTAACAAAGGAGCAAGCCAAGCTAGGAAGCCAGTTACAGAAGGAACAAACCAAGTCAGCTTTCCAGTCCCAATCCTGCAGTTGTCACTATAGTAACTACTGAAAAAGCATTGCCACATACATCACTCTCATTCTCTCCCACCGTTGCTGGTAAGTGATTGCCAAGGACAGTCAGGGAGCCCTTCCAATAGCAGGAAACCCCACATAGTGCTTCCACTACCTAGGTAAGCTCCCCCCCCTTTCACCATAACCAGAGCTGGCTTTTATACTATTAACTTTAAAGGCAGAACACTTGATGTTACCTTCCTAATTGGTTTTCACCCAAGGTTGCCCAGGCCTTGAAAGAAAACCAGAGGAAGGTTTCTCCTGCTGTTGGAGAATCCTCTGCCTGGTTGTGGGCATCATCCAGATGTCAACCCCAAGCCCTGAATCAAAGATAAGACCCCAGCACTTCAACATCTTGACTAAGAAACAAGATAAACAGAGCATTAAACAGGTCATCAGGGAATCAAAAGTTGCTCCAGTGAAGGCTGTCAGCATCATATTTAGGTCTATCTAGGGAATCCCAAAACAGGGAAAAGCTAACTCACATAAATCTGAGTTTTGTGGGATATGTGACAGTACCTTCAGCAGAAGGATGCTGGGTGGAAAATACAGGATCTCAACTGAATAGACAGACAAGTCAGGCTTTCAGTCCTGAGATACAATCTAAAATTGATGGGAGTCACAAATGAGTGAAGGGAGGGAGCAGGCACTGCCAAGAGGTGTCCTGGGGAAGGGATGAGTTAGGGAAGCAAGCAGCACAGCACTAAGCTGCTCTTAGACCACAGTTCACAGCAGGGCTCATGGAGAAAAGCAGGCTAGATACTCCCCAAAGAAGGAAGAGGAGCCCACAAAGAAGAGTTGATTAGGGGGAAGGACCACATCTCCTCATATCCAGCATCAAAGATGTGGGGTCACTACTGACAGACAGGTAGATATGAGGGAGATGGTTCAGCATCCTCCAACACTGGAGGCCTTGGGCTGTGCTTCCCCTCCTCAGAAATTGCTTAGACAAAGGACCAGTGTTGGATGTCTTACTAGCAAGATCTCAGGGGCTGTCACATTGGTTGGGGAACACAGCCTACTGTTGGTGGTGATATGGTTCACCAGAGAACAATATCTTGCATGTATGGGTGGAGAAGATCTCAGTTTCACTGCAGATGAAGTTCTGACAAGCAGTGTGGGACTGGGGTCCACACATGTCCTGCTACATGGGCATCTGGCAGCACCATCGCTCCTCTGGGCATCGACTGCTCAAGGTAGAGGTGTCAGTCCTTCTGTGCTTCATACTTCACACCTCTCAGGGTACACACTCTACGGTCTTGTGGATTTCTTAAGCAGCACCAAGTGGACAAGGTACACATGTCATGGGTTATGCACAGAAAGCAAGGCTTAGGCAGCCATTCACACAGCTCCACAGCAGTGAAGAGCAGAAAATGTTGCAGAGACACACATGGGAGAGGGGATTTGCATGAACCAGAACAGCCTCCATGCAGGACAGAAAGTGATCCCTGATCTACTGTGTGTGAGGCATCATCGCTTGAAGGACAAAGCCCAGATTAAAATATTTCCTCTGGCTTTAGGTCTTTATAGAAAGAAAAATAAAAAAGGAAGAGGGAAAGAAACGGGAATAGTTGAGGCAAGGCAGCATGGAAGTGAGGCCCATGGTGAAGTCCCTGTCTCAGGGCAGGCACTGAGGTACATGTCTCCCATTTGCCCACGCAGCCAGAGCAGGGGGAACACACATCTGCTGCTATCCAGCACCCTGCTCCTCCTGTGAAATGCTCTCCCAGCTTCCAGGGAGAGGCGAAGAGCGCTTGCAAGTGGAGCCCAGCCACAGCAGATCGAGAGCTGCCACCTCCTGGCACCAGCAGCAATGGCCTCTGGAGGTTCCTCAGCTGCTGCCTTCTGCCCTTGGCAGGGCTCTGCCTCCCCCCTGGCTCCCACCAGCCAGCTGAGCATGCTGAGCACATGCCTTAACAGGTCTTGCAGGCTCAAGGACCTCACCCTGCCCAAGCACCCACATCTGCTCTGCTTTGCAGAGATGTGCCAGTGCTGGCAGCCCAAGAGCACAGCAGCATCAGTCGCACAAGCCAAACCTGCTCGCATCCCTCAGCACCCATTGTATCTGTTTTAATCTTAGAGGTGAAAACTCCAAAAACACTACAACCATCTACTTTCTCTTCCCTTCAGAGCCTTTAGTGAGAAGTGTTTTCCTCTGGAGCTTCACCCCCCTTGGCTGTCCAGCCTGGATCCATGGCGTAGTGGACAGCCCTGTAAAACATTGCTTCTCAGCAGGCTGCTCAGCCTCTCCTGCCACCCTGCTGGGGCCCAGCCTCCCAGTGCTGGAGGAGCACATGCAACAGCCACCCAGGCAAAGGCTACAAGAGACGGTGGGAGAGGGGAACCCCTGCTGCAGTTATGCCAAGGTTGGATGTGGAACTGAGGGGCAAGCAAGAAGACGCTCTGGGATGACCTGGTGTGGTGAAGACCAGGCACAGGGAGAGGAAGGTCCACAGGTCACAAGCCATGTTTGGCTTCATTTCGAATCCCTCAACCTTGGCATTGATGATACTCCAAGTTAAGAACAAGGCAGCCCACGCAGCACTGGTGCCACACACAGCCCAGAACAGGCCAGTGAGTCCCCAAACAGGGACCTTGCCACTGTCCCATCTGCTAGTCCCATCTGGCACGTCCAAGGGAGTGTCCCGTGGGAGACCCCCACTGACGTGGGCTTGGGGGTCGGGTGGAAGATACCCCCCAGCCTGAAGCCAGGCGGCGCGCGCAGGAGCGGAGGGAGAGCCCACACCCAGCCGAGCTGTAGAAAAGGAAACTGTCCCATTTAATGGCCCTCGCTCCCGTAACAGACACGAGCACACAGCCAACGTGTGGCAAAGCAGAGTGCACGGGCAGTGGGACTCGGCCCCAGCCCCGAAGGGGGCAGGGGGGCTTGGGGTGCCTGGCACAGCACGGGAGCCAGCCAGGTGCCCAGCCAGCAGCAAGGACAGAGAGCCCCAGGCTCGGTCCAGTTGGCACCAGGGTCGGGTCCAGTTTGCACGGAGGTAGGGCTCTCGCTGGCCTCTGCGTGCTGCAGGGAGAGCAGGGCGGCTCAAGTGTACCGGAGAGAGGCCAAAGGAGGTAGGTCTGGGGACAGGTCATGGAGAATGCTGCCGTGGCAGGTTTGGAGCCTCCCTGCCCGAACCATGGTTTAACCAAAGCAAGGGAGGGGACCAGAGCAGGGGTGGAGGCTGAGCGGCCCAGGTGAGCGTGCTCAGGGCTAGCTAGCTATTCCCATTGGCGAGAGATCCGCTGGCAGGAGGGGCAGGGTCTGCCAAGTACTCCAGAACAGGAGTGAGCCTGGGCCATAGATGTTTACCAGTGGCTCCACGTCCCTGGCGGTCTCTCCCAGGCAGGACTAAGGCACCCCTGTGCCAGGAAGGGGGCACGAGCGGACGGGACCTCCCCCCATTATCTGATGGAGGCGTCGCTGGGGGGGTCGCGGTCAGACTCCTCGCTCTCCTCATTTGGGGCCGACTCACTGTTGGAAGCTGGGGTGAAGGCAGGAGACTTTCTGCAGAGAAGAGTAAAGGGCAGCAGTCAAAGAACCACCCAGGGGAAGGGAAAGGACCCAGTTCAGCGTGGGCAGGAGGCACCAGAGCAAGGAGCTCCAGTGCATCTCTCACTCCCCTGGGGCACGTGTGGGTCCATGGGAACCCATGTGTGTTGGGGAGGCCATCTCAGAGGACACCAGCTCAGAGGTCCAGAGCATGAAGCAGAGCTGGGGGAAATGCTGGAGGAGCCTGCCCAGAGCAGGGACAAGGTATGTGAGGCTAGGGGTCAATAAAAGCCCAATGCAGAGGTCCCCAGCCTGGAGCCACCCTGACTTGATGTCCCTGCACACCAGCAGCTCCTCTCTCCACTGGGGGTGTCCAGCTTCACCTGTCAGAACTGACTCCTGTGTGCAGCCCACCTTCTTCAGAGGTGGCACCATAACCTGTGTGGAGATGTCCAACAGCCTGTGGGAACTGCCCTCTCTCCATGCCACACCAGGGCAGGGCAGGAGTACTGCCTCATGTTTCAGCTCCCACTCACCACCACCCTGGCTCCAGCCCTTG